CATGTCAAATGTCACAGCACTAATTTCTTTCCAATGCAGCCCAGGTATAACCGCAGGGGCGAGAGACAGTCACACCTCATTGCTCCACAGAAAGAGATTCCTGGGAGACTGCAATTCAGAAATCTACAGGCTTTATTTTAATGAAATCCATAGCATCTTGTCATTATTGTTTTGTGCTCAGCTGTATAATATGGTAATTTTAGGAATTTTGGGCAGCATATGTTTTCACATAAAACAATTTTCTTACAGAGAAATGGGGATTGTATGCCTGTTAATAACTTGCTTTGCAGCACCATTTAAACTTGGTTAAACTTGGCTTGTATAACTGCTGAAAATTATTTTTATTGGTTCTGGTCACTGGAGTGTGATAGCTTGCATACTTAAATTATGTGTTAAATGTGTGTAGCAATATTTTATGGACCTATTCATGTATGCTAATTTTATCAAGCACACAATTTCCTATAGTATGATCACTGTGAGTTTGTATTAAACTAAATAAAGGCTGTAAGACGTGCTTAGTCCATAGATCCGCTTGAAGGATGTTTTACAGATTATTTTAATGGTTCTAATGCGTTACTGAATGCATTTGTGCCTTTGTTTGTTTTTGCCCAAGGGGAGGTAACATGCTGCCTCTCATCCCAGTGTCAACAAACTTTTCATTCCACACATGACCCAATAAAATAAATCTTTCCTCAGGGAATTAAGGAATATTCCATCTCCCAATTATGAGCTATGTTTGTATTGTTTTCTGCATATTTGTGTGTCCTTCCTTATTAATGCCTTCATAAACAAATAATTTTAAATGTAAACAAGATGGGAATCTTTGCATAAAATAAAAATTATAATTCCACATGTGACATGCCACACAGATACAGTATATGCCAATAATGCTGTGTACCTTTTAGAGACAGCATTCACACATTTTAAATTACTGCAGTAATTTTTTTCTTGGCACATCCTTTCCAATCTCCAACAAATTGGTGCTAATCAAGTTAAAGGGGACCTTCCTGCCCTCCTCGTCCCTCTAAACTTTCTGAACATTTAGTTATGCGCCTGCCATTTCCTCATTCCTTTACGCTCTTCCCCCTAAATTACTGGGAGGTGATATACAGCCTGGGTGTCCCAAGGCTACAGGAGATTTAGAACTTTGTCCCATATGAAGGAGAGGTGAGAAAAGACATTACTATGCAGAATAGGTAATATTGAAAACGCCAGAGCTCTTTATGGTGCCCCATGCAGATTATCAATCTATTTGTGTAACTTGGCTACCCAGAATTTCATTTCCCTTTTCATTTATTTGCCTTGCTGCAACCGTTTACAGTGCCGAAACTGAAAATTGAAGCCATGACGAGTAAGGGAGCAATATTCCAAGGGCAAAATAGGCCTCTTCTGCTGTATGATTGCAAAGCTTCATTTATGGGGGAGGAATGAAGTGACCTCTTTTTGATGAGCTCAGAGGAATATTTTGAGAAAAGCAGAGAGTCCACATATGGTCATCTACACCTTGTCCATGCAGTCTTCTTATAGGCCTTAAGCCTTTTTAAGTGTTACTGAGAATTTACGTGGGCTTTTTGCCTTATAAAAGAGCAACACTGGTCAGTGTTGCCCTATACTAAATTCAGCACCATGGACAGAGGCATGCATTTTGTAGGATTGCCTGCATTAGTATCATCACCATGGACAGAGGCATACATCTGTTATTTTCAGCACCATGGATAGTATTCTGTCTCTGGCTCCCTTTGTTGGTCCTGTTTTACAACTCCAGTCCAGTCATAATATCTAGCTATAAATACTAACAAAGTCTAGCCTTGATTTATTTCACTAAGGAGCTTTGGAAACCAGATCATTATTTACATGTGTATAAATGAAGTCATTTGATTGCATCAAAATGATTTTTGGGAGGAATGTACAGAGTTTAGTATAACAGAGAATAAAGAGAGAGCGCTTTGAATTGCCCTCAGCACGCCTGTGCAGTGGGAACAAATGATTTGCAAGATCTACGCAGTCATATCTGAGCATACCCAAACGGATTGAAATAAGTACCATTTGGGGAGCGAAAAGACACACTGTTACACGTCTTGCTCGTTAATTGCATATTATTATTATCAGTCCGATGGGCTCAGTCACCAAAGCCATTTCACTCCGGGCGAAACTGAAAACATTTCATAGTGGCTCACAGGTAGGTTGTGTGACGAGACAGACCGTGAGGGAACCATCGTGGCACTATAGCTTACATAATCATCACGGCAGTACCCACTGAACATAATTACAATGATTTGTGCCCTCCCATTTCACCCTTGTATTAAAAAATATTGCTGGAGGTAAGTCAGGCGTGAGCACAGGCAAGGCTGCTGTGGTGAATGGAGTGTGGCCCCAAGGGATAGCTTGTAGAGCAGAGCATGGTGTCATGCCAAAGAAAGCCAAGTCTCCCCCACCCCGCTGGGGCCCGGTCATGCCGTGAGAACGGGATGACATTACCGGGCCATTTAGCTGGCGGAAGAGCAGAAAGAGGTGAGAGAGGCGCAGAGTGTGTCGCTTTTGTTATTTAATGGTTGGCTAATGTCTAGGCAAAGGGGGGTATGCCTTTTAGCCAAAAAGGAAAACAAATAGGTCAACATTATGAGCCTTGGATTTCATTGCTATACTATGTGGCCTTTAGGCTGCATGGTTTAACGGAAAATACTGAAGCATAACAGGAGTACACTAGCTGTACATTTTTCGCATTGGAGAGTGGTTCAGTGCCTTGTGGCCTATATACCCAACACTTTACCCTTTGGTCTAATAAGAATATAACATATTATCATATATAGGACCTGTATTATTGCTTTCATATACTTGTATATGTATACTTCAACCACTTGCCAAATACGCATGGATGTATGTGTGTGTGTGTGTTTACAGTGCAGTCCCTCTATATCACATAGAGTAGCTCAAAATGTATGTTGGTCTGTATTTCATATTTGTGGATATTAGTTTGCTGTCTTTCTGTGAGATAAGATGTCACAGGCCGGAGCACAAGAGGAAGTGGGATATACTTTATTTTTTTCCATATTAGTTAAAAGCACTGCCCAGTTTGAGACACACCTGTTATAAAGGTTATCACAACTCCACTGTCACTGATTCATTTTTCATGGGCTACTTTTCTGACTGTTTGAATGGCATTTGTCAGACTGGATTTCAGTAAGAATATCAGCCCTCTTATATTTACACATTGCTTTGACCTCAGGCATTGTAGTTGTCCTTTGGGAATAGAGATAAACAACATGAACTGACTCCCAAAGGAATAAACCAGTATAGCCAATGATTTTAACTGAGAGGTCATGCCAGTGCTCAGGTTGGTATGAATTGAATTTGAACCATCCGATCTCTTGTCCAAAAGAACTTTCTAGCATTATAGACTGTATCCACTTTGACAGTGAATGTTCAAACCTACTGTCACACCATTTGCACCTTCTCCAGGTCGCTCTGTGTGACCACTGTCAGATAATGAAGATCATTCTGTCCTGAAACATGATACTATAACATATAATATGTTGAACCTCCGAAATCTTTCTTCTCTCTACCAATTTCACAGATGTAAACAGGCTTTTAATTTATGTAGAAGTGTTCCAGACCTTCTGCTCTGAGTGGTGTTTAATATCAACACCTAACTCACTCATACTTACATTTTCATAAATCAAGGGCTGCTAAGATAATCAGACTGGCTACTTTAGATTTGATTAAAAACTGATTGGTGGATGCCTATAGGCTTACCTTGAGCTTAAAATGTATTTTATGGGAAGATTTAATGAATATTAGATGTTCTTCGAAATGATCAATGTGCCTTTTATGGAGAAATAGCTTTTCAGATGTTTTGTGCATTTAGGGTGTAAGCTGATATTTGCTGATATTATCTTTGTAAGTATGCTTATCACCTTAAGAAACCTAAACAGTTACTGACATCGCTGGATGTGGATTTCTGTGCATCTTGTCAGTTTGTCCCACTTTTGTGGGATTTTTTCCTCTTCGATGTGCCCCCTCTCTACGCCACTCGGCGGTGCTCACAGACTTCCCCTCTCTGGAAATCAAATAATCTAATCCACATTACTTTGGAAATGGCAGCGAAAGCTAATAATACGCCGTCTAACCGGCGCAAAAAAAACAAAAAACTATGTTTGTTCTTATTAACGAGCAGTCGGAACCGTCAGAGGAATCCTCCATCGGTGTATTTTAGTTTCGCCTGTGGGACCGCATTTCAGCACCACGGAGCTGTCCGCCGTCCAGAAGCGGAGTGAGGATGCAGCGATACAATGCTGCTGCTGCTGCCGTCCAACATGAGGGAGGCAATAAGATGATATTAAATGCGGTTTAAGCACAAACTCAAACCTCCCTAAGAGCGACAACCACATTTACAATCACATTCAATCTACAGCGCGTTTATTATTTTACATACATCGAAAAATGTCTTGGGCAAATTGCTGTTAATACAACTGAGTTGCTTATTACAATTAAAAGGAAAGGATTGTGCATGTTAGTCACGAAGTAATAAATTCTTGAGTTCGTGAATGTGTAGTTATTTGCTCTGAGTAGGAGCACAAAGGAGCGTATTCTCTATATTTCTCTATTTATAGACCCTCTCCCCTTGGTGGAATGTACCACTTGGTCTTCACATAAGAAAAGGGGGGTGGCAGAAAACTCTGGGTTTGACATATGCTGAGTTTACAGCGGCCCCTCTTTACTCAAACCTCCCCACTGTTCTGGCAGAGATTGAGCCGGCTCTGTCCGTTTAAACCGAGAAGACACCCATACCGACTCCTCAATGCAAAAAAATAAAAGGGTGCCAAGAAGCTGGGACGAGGGAACGTGGGTGTAAATAGACAGTGCACGCTCTTGGTCTCTCTCTCACCCTCTCTCTCTCTCTCTCTCTCTCTCTCTTTTCTCTATCTCTCCCTCCCCCTTCTCTCTTTCTCTCTGTCTCTCTTTTATGAAATCAATGAACGAGTTATTGGGTAGGACATAAATATAAGGAATCAAAGCCTCCACCGGGACCAACGGCATTGCGCGCTTTTGATATGCGTCTTCGCCAAATGCTACATGTGTTTTCACATCAGTGTAAATATTGGCTTTGATAGGACGAGAGCGGAATCAGCTCTGGCACGGCTTGGTCTCGGAACCAAATTTTGACCAAGACTTCCACCAGCTTTTTTTCAACGTAAAACGATTCTCCACCATCGCCATCTGCTGCTGTCCTACCCATCCCAACTCACTGGCCGGTCCGAAGATGGCAACTTTAACCAACGGGCAGGTGGACGGCACGGTGCACGGTGTCGGTGTGGTCTCCGCCAGCACGAACGGACTCGTGAACGGATTAAGCCACAGCCACAGCCCGGTGGGCTGCCCGGCCACCATCCCCATGAAGGACCACGATGCCATCAAACTCTTCATCGGTCAGATCCCCCGCAACCTGGACGAGAAGGACCTCCGGCCCCTCTTTGAGGAGTTCGGCAAGATCTACGAGCTCACTGTGCTGAAGGACCGCTTCACGGGCATGCACAAAGGTGGGTTATTATGCCCAGATTACCTGAGACAACTATGGCTCTACTTGTTTTGTTTTTTTGTCAGTGTGAAATCTGTCACACATTGGTGAGAGTGAGGATCCTAAATCATGCAGGATTTGATGGGTAGAACTGCGCGATTGTTGGCAAATGTTGCACATTTTCTGTAAGGTTGAAGCCTGAATGACTTTTATGCAAAAAAAAGGATATTTATTCTTTTGTTAGACTTGTTATTTGGTTCTCCAATCCAGTACAATATTTTCTACCGTACTGAGCAAACATATCCAAGCCTGAGAGTGTCACGAATCGAGAGTCACGACGGCATGAATTTATGTAGGGTGATATTAGGAGGAGCAATGTTCCCTATTTGGGCAGTGTGCACGGGAGTATTCACACATCTAGTCCGGCGGTTGTAAACGTGCTTTCATTCACTACAGTGCTAAATCCAGGCCATTAACCTCACGTTTTCACGTTGCAATAGCGGGGAGGCTGTGTTTGATTGCCCGCAGCACCGCACACTCTGTTGCCCGTAACTCTCTCACTGTGTGTGTGTGTGTGTGTTGTTGGCCCGCGCGGCCCACGCGTGTGGTGTGTGAGTGGGTGGGGGGGAGGGGGGTGTCGCGCGTGCACGTGTGTACGACAACACAAGAGGTGTAGGCCTATGAATGTATTGCACTTTTGCACAGCCTTTAAGCTCTTTAAGATTTTCAGGTTTGTGATCTGAGTTCTCCCTGAAAATGAAAACTAAACTACAAAATACAAATGGAAATCGCACAGAAATATATTTTAATTGATTTTTAAACTTTCTTACCATGGCGGTCCCTTTGTTACAACAATGATGTGGGTGAATTATCGCAAACTTTTGGCATATCAATGCTACATGGCCTTTTGGTGTAATATTAACGACCAGCCTTGCATTTTTGGTGCAACAGGAATGATGGTGCTTTAGCCTTTTGTTTCAGTTTCTTCTCTCAAGGGAAATGCCATTCTCTGCAAATCACCGTCTAATGAGAGGTCACTAATTGATCTGCTATAGCCTACCTGGAAGACATCACCCAGGGGAGCAAAGAACCTTAAGAATGAGCTATCTCTTTTTGGGAGACCCCTCCTCCTCTGTTAAAGCCCCCCTCTGTCCCCTGTAAACAATGTGTGACATGCACCATGTGTCAGGAAATAATTATGATATACAAATAATTCCAGAGGGCGGAGAGGGTCTGCAGGCATGGGGGAAACCAAAGAGGTGGAGAAGGAGAAGAGGGGTGGGGAGGGGGGTTATCTTTTATTAATAGCCCAGCTGTAGTAGCAACTCCCTGTTGGACAGTTAATCACCAGTGGCCCCAGAACTATAGGCACGGCTTGCCAGCTGATTCTAAGAACTGTCTCCTCACTGCGATATACGGCCCTGGTTCCCGGGCTGGGCCCCCGCTTTCATTAGCGAGCCCCCGCTGCGCTCATATTTTAACTAGCTAGAGGCACTAGCTACTCCCTGGCTCACCAGCTCACTGGCTCACTGCAAGCTGCTTGAAGGCCGTGTTCCCTCCACAGACTCCTCACACCTTCCTGAGGTTTCCATAGAACATTCCCAAATTAGCAGTAAAAGACAGCACGACCCACAAATAACAGGTAATGTGACTGACTGTGTACACTGCTGTCATACTGCTTTTATTGAAGACGACACAGTATAACATGAATCAGGTATAGTAAGCTATCGCTGCATGAGTTTGAGACAAGAGTAAATACAGCAAGCAAATATAGAAATATTTTGAAGAGAAATAATTCACACCGTCTATGTCTTGTAAAAGCCGCCGATGTATTTGAAGCTGTTATACCTTTTCCTGGATTTTCTGTATGAGGTCAGGTCTACTGTTGCCAACTAGCAGCTGAAAAATCTTTAATTCAACAGTGCCATTTTGGTGGTTTAAAAAATGTTATGTACATTTTCTACAAATGTACATTTATGTATGTGCACGTTATGATCTTTCACTGCTCCTCCCTCTTTCCCTTTTCCCTCGGCTCCTTCATGCCGTTTGCTTCTTCAGAGTCCTGCCATAGAGCAGAAAGAGTCAAAGCGAGGGCATGATGACCCTTTAAGGTGTGAAATGCTCCAGTGGAGTGAAGTCTATAGAACTGCCCACCAGAAAACTCCTCTTCTATTCTCCTCCTCCATCTTTTCTCCTCTTCATTAACTCTGCTTCATCCACTCCATTCTTTGCTTTCCCTCTTTTCCCCCTTTTGTCTTCACTTTATGTATTTGCTCTGACATGTTGCCTGTTCCGAGACCGTGCATCATGTAGGGCTGTGGTAGCACAAAGCTACAGCTAGAACCGGAGATGGTAGATGATCAACTTTTATTTTATTTTCCTTTACAGCTTTGTCCTTCCTCTGTTTTATTTTTTTTTAAATGGCACATACTTGGTAACTGTCATTGCAAACAATGTGATTCCTCATATGGGGATACTGTTGCATTCATTTAACTTCATCCAAAGAAACATGGCACTTTTACAAAGAAATAAGCATGTTTTTCAGCTAGATAATAGAGAGCTTTTTTCTGGTACAGCAGGTAATAAAAGCCCCCCCGTTCTGCTGTACATCAACAAGCCTAAAGAAACAGCTTTTGCTATGGTAATGCTACCACTGAAGAAAGAGACCCCTATTATAGCCATTGTCAGCCGTGCCTGTGATACTATTGCCATAACCCTCCCCATAATGACTCCATGTATCACTCGTAATCTAGTCTTTAGGATTCTGTCCCCTTGGAATGGAGGGGTGGAGGGAGGCAGGGAGGAGGGTAGTATGGGACAGGGGTCTTCAGAGGCTGGGAGCGGGCGCAGGGACACCAGTGCAGGCCTACATTCTCCCAATGATTTTATTTCTCTCCCCTCTGCGACCGAGCCATGCTAATAGAGGCCATTTATAATGGTCACCGGCTGCTGCTGCTGCTGCTGCTACCAAGCACAACGGGGCTGAGAGGCACGGCTAGTACAAAGAGCCAGCCCTTTCTCTTTCTCTTCTTTCAGGCAATGCAGCATGGGAGGTGGGGATCTATTCAAGAAGAAAAGGTGTAGATATGATTGCTAGCACTATTCATCAGCCCGACTTCATGTAATAATCACCGGGGCAATTGATCTGTGATGATATGGGGAAGACATTTAATAACTGAAGGTGTTATCTATTGTTTACTGCTGTCACATCTTCAGGCAGTATTGTGTTCCAGGCCAAGCCTTTATTGTCTACATCTTCGTTTTTCCAAGCAAATGCAAATGCAACTGTCACCAAGTTTGTTTTATGGCTGTTGTTTCATTTGGTGGTAATTTAATGCGAGTAATATATTTGTCCTTGGCCAAACTACATTAGCAACAGCTCTCGCCATGAGCTCAGACAGTTAAAGTAGTTACAAAGCCAGAGAGTTGCTCAAAGTCAAAGCAGGTGTTGAAACTTCATTTAGATTTGGGCCAAATAGTAAATTTTTACCTGGCTGAAATAAACAAAATGTCACAGTGCCGTGCGGTCCTGTGCAGGGCCTCTGCTCTCAAAATAGGAACTGTGGTGATTAATGATACCTTGGCTGTTGAACCATTTTTATTTAATATCAATACTTTATTATATAGAAATTATTATATGATCATATGAGGTTTAATATGTTTGAAATCAAACAAGTGGAGATACAGTCTAATGACCAATAGTAATCTTGTTTAAATTTACCCATACTACAGATGGTTTATGCTACAGATGGGGGCTATAATCTGTGCAGGTCATAAAGGGAGTTATGGTTCCCTCTGAACGCCTATGGTTTTGATATGTCAGCCCTTTTAACTGAGTGTGTCAGGGGAGAAGGTTCAGAACAGATCATTGGGCTCATCGTGTTTGGTGAGACCAGGAAATCATGATGCCAAAAACATGAAAGACCCATGCTGTGTTTTATTGCAGGCAATTAGGTGTTACAGGTTGCCATTAGATGAGTACCGTCTGCGGGGAAAAAAGAGGGATAAAACCAAATTTGGCGTTGAACAAAGAGAGAAAGCAATATGTCTGTGTTTTTTCGTCCTGCAGGTCTGTGTTAATGCAGCACGTGTTCCGGCCGAAAAATTTCACTCTGGTTGCATCATCCTCTCTGTGGGATCCTTCTCTCTCTCCTCCTCTCACATTTGGTTTGGGATGAGCGTGTGTGTGTGCATCTCTGAGTGAGTGTGTGTGTTTATGTGCTCCTCCTTTCCTCCCTGGCCCAGAATCCTCCACTCAGCTCAGCTCAGAATGCGCGCTCAGGCCCCACATTGTGCCCCGTTTCTATGAAGGCGCATCGCAATCGATTTTGAGTGTTTTGTCAGGGATAAGGGCTACATGTGTCACAGAGGAGGTTGCTTCTTACCAAAGTACACTCGACCACCAGTACCGCACCACACCGCATACCGCCACCCCTGTCCTGGTGGCACCCAGAACTGCCAAGCAACAAGAGGGAAACAAGAGGCGGAGCCAGAGCGGGGAGTACAGTGAGCCTAATTTGTCAGGAGGGCCATTGTCAAGGCAGCACTGCCTCTGTCGACCACTATTATTGGAGGGGACTGTCAGATGGGGGACGCCTGATGGCCGAGCAGGGAGCCAGTTAGTCACAGTGAGAGATGACCGCAACAAGCCAAAGGAGGGTGCACTCCTGCAAGGATTTGCATGCTAACAGCAGGTTTGGAGTCATGGGGCCTGTCAGGGAGGCGGAGTCCTCTGGCTTCTCTGACCTCGCCAGTCCTCTCATTAAAACCACTGACCTTTACATACAAGCAAGACAGAGATAATATAAAGGGATGGCTGCACCTACATGTTCACATATATTCAGCTCAAAGTGCAAAGTTTGGTTAACAAACGTGAATGTGAAATTGTATGAAGTAAATCAATAACACGTAGTAATAACGAGGACACAGGTTTAAAGTGCATTGGAAATAACTATTAATTAAAATACGACAATTACATTGGCATTTATAGACTTCATTTTCTTCACAGAAAACTTTTTGGGG